CTCCTGGTGGAATGACCTGCCCAAATCCAAAACCAGAGTCCTTAACCATCTTCAAGAAACGACTAAAAACACATCTGTTCCACCTTTATTTGACCCTCTAACACTTTCTATTCTATTTTAATTCTACTTTATCTATACTTATCTTTATTTTTTATAAAAACAACAAAAAACAAACAAACACTAGCTTTCTATTTTTTCTATTCTATCTACTTGTTTTTCTTTGTGTGTGTGTGTGTGTGTGTATAATATATATACCTTGCTACGTGTACTGCGTTAGGCTAACCGAGACTTGTCATTTGCATTTATATATTGTTGCTCTTTTGTTAGTTTTGACTGCTTTTATTGTCCTCATTTGTAAGTCGCTTTGGATAAAAGCATCTGCTAAATGACTAAATGTAAATGTACTGTTCATTGTTTTGGAGGGACTGGAATTATCTCAATGTCGAATTTGAATTAAAAAATGTTTAATTTCACTGAATTGTTAAATGAGTTTCCTGATTCAATCTCTAAAGAACACTGTAAATAACTACAATAAATCTAAATGTACCTTTCCGTCCCAGCCGAGTGGCAGGTTTTTGGGGTTGTATATGATCTCATTATCTTCGTCTTCACTCTCACTCTCGCTGGGCTGCTCTTCATCCGCCTCGTCACGCTCCTCTCCTGTGCGCGCCTGCTTCCTCTGGACGTTCTCATGGGTCAGCTGCCTTTGCTCCTGCAGCACACAACGAAACACACCAGCTTCAGCAACATCCCTGCAGACAATTCACACCAACGTAGGGATATGCCGGTATCAAATTTTCATGTTGCGATTAATTGATATTGCTTTTATCACGGTATGCGGTATTATCACGATATTGACATTTAGGTTTTTTTAAAAGTGCTGTCATAATACAGTATAACAGGTTTAATAACATTTTTCTTATAACAAAAATAACTGAACATTTAAATGCAATAACGCAATACAGAAAAAATTATAAAGTTAAAAGTTTTACACAGACTAAAGTGCAAAAGAATTATAAAGACCAATAGGTATTACTTTACAATAAGAGCTCATTAGTTAAGCTTAGTTAATGCATTAACATTCACACTGAGCAATAGCTACATTTGCTACAGAAGTTATTAATCTTTAGAAGTGCCCACGATAACAATATCGTGCATATTCATTACCGTGATATATCGCATTACCGAATACCGGCACAAGTCTACACCAACGGCACCAAACCAAAACCACTCGTTAAGAGAAAAACACTAAAATACAAACTGAAGGGGATTTACTTAAAAATAACAAAAAGTAAACTAGATCTGAGAACACAATGCATGAGATACAGTTTCCCACAATTCAATGTGCTTGAATTTTCTTTTTCTAATGGAACAAATAAACACAATGCTTATCATTTATCAGCTGCCAGCAGTGTTTAACATCTCTTCTTGGCTCATTATTTGATAGGACATATGTACATGTGGATTACAGATGATACATATATATACTGCCTAATATATCACACCCCTTCACAGATGCCATTGTAACGATATAATCAATGTTATTCACTTCATCTCTCAGTGGTTTTAATGTTGTGGTAGTGTATATATTCAGTGTAAATATTTTGCAAATATTATAGTATAATGTGAAATGAGGAAACTAAATATAAAACTACAGCAGGCAGAGTACTTACCCCCAAAATCTCCACATATTCATAAATCTGAGCTTCAAGAAAAGCAGATTCCTTGTTGCGCTCCGAGTCTCTGCAGACACAAGACAAGTCAAAAGAACAAATGAAGAGTTCGTTTGCAAAAGTAATGAAAGTAATAACTTAAAACAAATACAGGTAACTTACAAAATACAAGTTCATTGAAAGTATTTGTTAGTATACAGTGGGATACTTAGGACCATGTGATATTTCAGTTTTTCTTTTTTAATAAATCTGCAAAAATGTCAACAATTCTGTGCTTTTCTGTCAATATCGGGTGCTGTGTGTACATTAATGAGGAAAAAAAATTAACTTAAATGATTTTAGCAAATGGCTGCAATATAACAAAGAGTGAAAAATTTAAGGGGGTCTGAATACTTTCTGTACCCACTATATATTAAAAGTTTGTTTTATAGCAAAAGCAGATAACTCCACATTTCATGTTTCAGAGTTAAACACTTGTTTAATCTTTGTAATCTCCCCAGCTGACAATGCAGACGCCTGACAAACGTTGTTGTGATAATTCAAACGTAATAAACACTTTTTTTCTCACTTCTGCAGGACGTCGGCGTCGCGTGATCAGTGACAAACGAGGAGAGAGAACAAAAAACGCTTGTCACGAATTAGAAGCACAAAACTAGTATTTGTACAGAAAAATGTCAGAGGATTTCGATATAAGCCAAGAGGAGACTGGTTTTCCTTTGCTCCTGTAAACAAACTCGCGAGACTAGCATTTCTCAGAAGCGCGCGCTGCGAATACGTCCTCCGTCATCCGCCGGAACGCCTTCTGCGTATTACAGATAACAGAAGTGAGAGAAACGTGTATTACATTTGTAATATGGATATTTTTCTTACAAAAATGCATGGATTTGCTACAGGCCTTCATTCACCCCCCCCCCTCGGAGCACGTTTTATTAATGGATGCGCGCGCTTTATTTCACGTCTTCTGGACCGTTGACAAAAAGCACCCGCTTACCCCCATTGTAAGGCTTGGAGGGGCCAGGACAATTTTGAATATAACTCCGATTGGATTCGTCTGAAAGAAGAAAGTCATATACACCTAGGATGCCTCGAGGGGGAGTAAAACGCAGGCTAATTTTAATTTTTGGGTGAACTAACCCTTGAACAGCAGCCTTGTCACCTGACCTGAATACAGCGCACTGATTCACTAAAATGGACTTATCGGCTTCTGTTCACAAACATCAAGGGCACTTGTTGGTTTCTTCTGTAAAACATGAACTCGCGATGCCTTGAAAGTGGACAATACCGGCTTTTTTGACAAAACGTGTCTAGGGTTCAGATCGCGCTATATGCAGTGGCGTAGCAGACGGGCACAGACTGCGGGGGGGCCCCGCGATAAGACGATGGGATGCGTTGAAAGATGATCATCATGTATCGACGATAGCCAGAGATATTTTCAAAAGCATTGAATATTGTCATTATTAAGAGTATTTGGCATTTCCAATTAATGTAGGCCTATTAAATTCTGGCTATTATTATGTTACTTTTATTATTAAATTAATATTACAATTAATTTGCTCCACAATAATTTCATAGCGCATCACCGCATAACTGACGCGCTGTGAGGATAATAAAAGATTAGGCTATTAGCTTAGGCTACTCATTGAAAATGTTTTAAAGGGGTCATATAATGCGATTTCAATCTTTCCTTTCTCTTTGGAGTGTTACAAGCTCTTGGTGCATAAAGAAGATCTGTAAAGTTGCAAAGACTAAAGTCTCAAATCCAAAGAGATATTCTTTATAAAAGTTAAGAGTCAGCCACGCCTACCTAAAACGGCTCGTTCTAACACGCCCCACATGTCTACCTCACTATGTGGGAAGATTTGTATAACGCCGCCCAAATGTTCACGCAAAGAAAGGTGTAACTTTTCTTCTCGCTGTAGTATTGTTGCTGCTGCTGCATGTCGTGAAGATGCTGTGTGTTTCGTTGTGAAAGCGAAACTACTTTGTTTGGTCTTCCAAAAGAGGACGAGATCTGCTTCGTCATGCCTAGAGCTGATCCGTGCTGGTCGCTGAGGAAATACTTCAACTTCGCGCTGTCGATCGC